GTGTAACCCCAGTTTCTGTTAGGATCAGTGCCATAACAGTTATCACCATATGGCTTACGTGTCTTCCTCCACATTCGGTTCTGAAATAAATTAAAAATATTAAATAGTAATTAAACATTAATTTATAAGTTACTGAATGTTTTATATTTTCATCAACGCCATAATATTTACTAACTTTGATCACTTTTTTGTTATCTTTTTTTAGCATGTCAAAAAAAAATGACAACTTATATGTTAGTCTATCCAAAAGTAGAAAGTAAGAGTAAATGGTTTTTTTAAATAACCTTATAATTACTCTGAAAATATAACTAAAAATGTTAATTTTTGTTACTACTTTAATTTATCGAACAATAGATTACTTTTTGTCAATAAGAAGTCGTCACTATTTTTTTGCTTCGATGATTAGAAGAGCAGCGCTAGACATTAAAAACCACGCTTACCGTGGTGTACGTATACACGTATCCATCAGGATTGCACACTGGGAAGATATACCAATCGTGACTCTCAGCTAGATCTCTGACGTCTGTATTGTTACTGGTCAGCAATTGATCCAAGATATACAAAACAGTCGCCGGCGCGATCCATTCTCTGGCGTGAATGCCACTCTCGAAAAAAACTCCAGGATTATTCTGTTTAAAGGAAATCTTGACACCTTTAATTTCACGACCCTCATATGATTTACCGGCCACGACAGTTTGTACTATGTCGGGATATTTCTTTTCCAAGTCGTCTAGATAATTGTAAATTGTATCGAGAGTATGATACTTTGTGAAATCAAATATTTCTGATGCTTTTGCGATTGTCGCTTGATTGATTAATGCCTGAACATTTTCAATAGAAACTTTATAGGGTACTTGGATCTGTGCCATCAATTCGTAGAATTCGGACAGTTTCTGCGGAGCTACCATAAGTTCCGCCTGTTTATTCGCAGACGGTTCTCTCCAGAAGGAAAACTGTAAACGATATTTAATTTTGTTTATTTTGAAATATAATATTAGTTTAAAAAGTTACATATTTATCAAATTTTATATTTTCTAAATGTTAATTAAATAATGTTATAAAGGACTTTACACTATAGTCATATGGCGGTCAAATTGACTGAAATTGTGATATTTTATTATGTGTTCTCTTTACATCAATTTTTCTTTACATCATCGATTTATATTTTATTATTCTGTGCATATAAAAATATTTACTAAAATACAATTAAAAAATGAATAGAAGATAAAGATTTTTCAGTTCGATTAGATCCAAAATAGCAACTTGTCTGTATGGGGGGGGTCCTTTGTAAGTAAAAAACTGATTATATAAATTTTAGAAATTTGCATACATTATGCTGTTTTTATGAAGTTAATTTTTTTTTATCTTATAGCTGATATAATCAATACAAATTTTTTTTCGGATTTTAGTTAATATGATCATTATAAATGTTATAAAAAAGGTAGCTTTTTGTGCAAAATATATTAATTTGCGTTTATCTTTATGCTGAACAATCTACTCACATGATCAGGATCCTTTGCTATCTGCTTGAGCAATTTAACTTGCCTGTTTGTAGTTATATTAATTTTGAGGACCTTATAATCGTCAAAAGTAATCTGTTCGGCGGTCACCAGGCCCATAATCGTGCATAATATTATTTTCCACATGATGAGTATAGATTTCTTTAATTTTAATGCACGAATATATATTAGTCTCAGTTATCGTTAATATTTTCACTGATCTTGATCTTGACAATGTTGTCAAGGTCATGATCCTGAGTGACCTTCAAGAGGTTTTAGAGCCATTATTTGTTATTATTTAAAAAGTTATTAACAAAATAAGTTTTATAAATATAGAACATAATTTTTAGATATAAGGTATACATTTATAATAAGTAAACCTATATAGAGGGGGGGGAGGGGAATCTCGCTTTGTGTTGTAAACTGTAATAAACGTGGATTCAGTATAGGTATCGCCTCCTACCGCGGTGGAAGGAGGATTCACTACAATATTAAGTGATTTTATATGCTTTTAAAATTGTTTAACAAAATTAATATAGCTGTGTAATTATATAGTTTAAAGAATATACAATAAAGTCAAATACATATATCATTGGTAAGAAATTATTAAGTTAGCATGACATTTTATTAATATAAAAAGAAATTACAAAAAAAATGAAACATATTATACAGTATTCATTTTACAGCAGTTTAAAACGAAAAGCTAAGTCATTACACAGAAAAAATGTTATGGTTACCACAACTGGAAATAATGATAATTTTCGTTAATATATTTAGTTGTGATAACCGTAAGATGGATATGTATCTTTACAACCATAGTCATTAAGATATGCTAATCTTATAGTTATCACAGTCGTATTATAGTTCTTATATCCAAAAAATATATTGGGCGACTTTTGGTCGTGGTAACTGTAGCTATTTTTCCGTGTAGGAGAGACTGGGGACGGTTGTAACAATTTTTAGAAATATACATATATTTCTTTATTTATGACATATGTTTATTTCTTTTAATGCTCATGATGCAACAACTATTTAGCTTTATGGTACTATTTGCAAAAAGGTATAATTTTAAGCTTTATGAGTTAATTTTAGTAATTATAGGCTTTATGGTACTATTTGCAAAAAGATATAATTTTAGGCTGTTTACGAGTAAAATATTAAAATCTGAATTAGTACATCTTGTTCCGATTTGGGGCAAAATGAAATAGAGCTAGGAAAAGTTGTAACATGTTCTAAAAACAAATTATCTACTCTAAAACAGAAATTCACTGCTTTAAAAACAAATTATTTGTTCTAAAACATAAATTCACTGCTCTAAAAACACAAATTCAGTGCTTTAAAAATAAATTATCTATTCTAAAACAGAAATTATCTTCTTATATTATTTTTGTTTTTAAATCAATAAATTGATTATTAAAAAGCAGTGAATTTGTGTTTTAGAGTAGAGAATTTGTTTTATAGCAGTGAATTTGTATTTTTAAAGCAGTGAATAATATCTATTATAATAAGAAATACTAAGATTTTATTAAGACCGACATGAAATTAAATACTAAGTATAAGCCTACTAAGTATATTTAAACCTATAACAATCAAAGCTAGACCTTCTCAATGCTTAAATAATTCACTGTGAATTATTTAGGCATTGAGAAGATTTAGCTTTGATCGTTATGAGGTAATGTATCTCATGTCATGAGGTAATATTTTTCGCAATAAATTTATTTAAGGTTTTCAGCATATTAACATCTTTATAATATGATTGGATCGAAAATTGAGAATTTGCTTGTCAATATAATTTAACTTGTGATATTATTGCAATAGTTTAAGGCCCGATTGCATCAACGTTACTTTGATTTTAAGTAAGGCTTAAAACTCTTTCTGTCTTTGTCTCTTTTTGGCTTTAAAACAGAACAGATAGAGTTTTAAGTCTCACTTAATCAAAGTGACATTGGCTTAATTGCGTTTGATAAAGCCCGGAAAAATTTCAACGCGCAGTTTGAATAATTACAAAAATATGATATATATATATATATGCATGTACATATATATAGGATATAGATAATTCACTATGAATTATTTAGGCATTGAGAAAATCTAGCTTTAACCGTTATAGCTAGCCAATATGCTTTACTTAGTATTTAATAAGAAATACAACATTCGCAGCATGAAAATGTGATCTCAGCACGCGCTTACATCACAATCGTATACGTGACTGTGACATATTTCCCAACCTGAATAGTCGTCAACTTAAAATATTTTAGTTCACGAAACAGAGCGATACTTTTTTCTTGTCAAATCATTTTTACGCGAAAATGCATCGATTCAGTGTACTTTTATCAAAATTTGAGGTGAGCGTGTTCTTCTTAATATTTACCATTAATTATAATGGTGTTACAATGTACTCTGGCGATGCAGTACTTTTAATTCCAAATCCAACTCAGATGTTGTAAAAACATTTATATAAATATATTTGAAACCACTTAAAAGACATCAAAAAAAGATATGCACATAGCTTGAGAAAACGTATTTTAGAATTAATAAAATGAAAACATAATAAAAAGCATTTTGAAAGTTTAAAGAAAAAAAGTATAACATTGTAAATTTATACTTACATGGCTTATCTGAGCACTCTATATTATGCTTATAACTTCTTTTATATGTGACGCACGCGTGATTGATGTCATGAGGCAAACGCAGGCCTCAATATATAGATACTGACTATTTTTCATCTTATCTCTTATCATTTAAAAGATATTTACGCATGGTTACACATTGTTAAAACTGTCCCCAGTCTCCCCTGTCATGATGATGTCATGAGGCAAACTCAAAATATAAGGTATTGATTATTTTTAATGTTCATATGATCATTTTATCTCTTATCATTTAAAAGATATACACATAATTACAACTCATCTTTTCTTTTATCATTTAAAAGATATACGCATTGTTACACATTGTTATAACTATCTTCTACGATAAAAAATCATTTATACATATAGTTTGCTTCTCCAGAATCATAAAAAATAATTTATTTTTATTATATTTACAATAATAATAGTTTATTATTATTGTATTATGTAATATTATATAATAATAAACGCTACGAATTAATTCCAACACCTAATAAATATAAATTACATAAAGTATTTTTGAATATTTTATGTAATTTATATTTTTTGGAATTCGAGAAAAATAAACATTTATTAAAAGGTTACGTGAACTTTACAAATTGTACAAATTGGGCATAATAATATTAGTCATTTTAAAATATTTTTTAATTTGTAATGACTTTCGATAAATAATTTATTTACTAAATTTGTTTTGTATTAGATAATTTTACATCAATTTATTTTATTATTTGCTATTTTCTATTTTTCCTACTTTTCCACATTAATTGTTATACATTGTCATTTATTTGTTTGTTATAAATATATTAAAGTAAGTACTTATAATCATTTTCATATTCAACACATTATATTTCGAATTTATAATATACATTGTTACAATACGTGAATTCTTATATCACGTAAGCGATCATTTGAGATGATTTTCACACTTTAGTAGGTTTCAATAGGTTGGACTACGAATTTGCGTCATAAATTCTTTTATTATGCACATTAAGTCTCACGGAAACTTCAACTATAAAACAAATATGAATTTCTAATTGATACAAAAAACTGTATGTTTCATCTTTGAGACGCTGGGATGTAGAAAACATCCCAGGTACTATTCTCGGATTATAGTTTAGTGTAAATATATTTATTAGGTGTTGGAATTAATTCGTAGCGTTTTACAAGTGATGGGAAGTACTTTCATTAATGTATTTTTTAATGCTCATGTGAAATAAATAACATTCTTTCATTAAAAAACGCTACGAATTAATTCCAACACCTAATAAATTGTGTTGATGACATATCACTACTAACAAATGAAAATTATAACACCGCATGATGTCAAATTCATACCCTTATTTTGTAGAGTTTTTATTTCTTTAAGCATGGCTATGATAGAATCCAAAGTCTCTTGTCCAGTCGGGATAATTTGCTCAGGTGGCAACAAAAAGCCGTATTGATATTTATTACGTAATTCATAAGTGTAGACGATTGATTTATTGTATGTGCCTTTGATCCAATCAACAGTATTTCCAGAAGCCACATCTAAATATAAAATGAATAAGTTTAAAAATAAATCATCCTGTTGTACATAATTATCAACTCGGAATGTGTTCAATAATATTGTTTCAATTTCGCAATGTTTTTAGTATGATAAAAAAAAAGAAATTCTTTGATAAATCAATCGAAAAAAATATAAAAGTATTTAAACATGGATAAGATACAAAGACAGATAAGTAGATAGAAGGGCGCAGAGAAAAAGAGAGAAAGAGAGGGAAAATAAATTAAATTTTTTTCTTCAACATACATATCTCGGCAATACTTCCGACTGTGTAGTAAGTTCCATATCTCTTTGCGAGAGCTCTAATCGTTTTCATGCCAATATCATACTAAAACATCATAAAGATTAAATATAAACTTCGTAATATTCTATTATTTTTATAAATAATTATTTGAATTAATTAGAATCTTCAATTATTCCAATACAATGTTTCAAATTGTTACTTATAAATAGTTATGTTAACAGTAAGATTATGATGAAATTTTTTCTTATTTCGTAGTCACGTGCCTAAAAAATATTTGCAAAAATTTTCGATTATCTAACGT